AATGTGCCAAATCATGTTACAAACACGTTAAAACATGCTAGCAATGTGCCAAATTGTGTTAGAAACATGTTAAAACATGATGGCAATGATACAAGTTTAAATATGCTAGCAATGTGCCAAATTATGTTAGAAAAATGTTAAAACATGCTGGCAATGAAACATGTTAAAACATGCTGGCAATGTGCCAAATCATATTAGAAACACGTTAAAACATGCTAGCAATGTGCCAAATCATGTTAGAAACATGTTAAAACATGCTAGCAATGATGTTACAACATGCTAGCAATGTGCCAAATCATGTTATACATGTTACAACATGCTAGCAATGTGCCAAATCATGTTATACATGTTACAACATGCTAGCAATGTGCCAAATCATGTTATACATGTTACAACATGCTAGCAATGTGCCAAATCATGTTAGACATGTTAAAACATGGTAGCAATGTGCCAAACTATTTTAGAAATACGCTAAAACATGCTAGCAATGAAACTTGTTAAAACATGCTAGCAATGTGCCAAATCATGTTAGAAACACGTTAAAACATGCTAGCAATGTGTCAAATCATGTTAGACACGTTACAACATGCTAGCAATGAAACATTAAAACATGTTAGCAATGTGCCAAATCATGCTAACAGCATGTTAAAACATGTTAGAAACATGCTATTGTAACAATGTCAAATCATGCTCTCAACATGTTAAAACATGCTAGCAATGTACCAAATCCTGCTAGCAGCAAGCATGTTAAAACATGCTAGAAACAAGTTACAACATGCTAAAACATGCCACTTCATGGTAAAATTGAAAGCAAAGCATAACAGACTATCTATATTCTAAAACTACTCAGGCCACTCTAACAACTGCATAGGAATATCCCTTAAGACAATTAACCGTGATTTTATTATAGTAAAGTGTTGTAACCATGTTTTTTTGGCTGACTGATTACCATTTGTATAACCATAATTTTACGACAAATACCACGATTAAAGTATGGTCGGTGTAGGAAAACCATGGTTATTTCGTGGTTACCATGGTTTAACTATATTAAGAATGTTTTTATTTATTTATTTAAATGCACAGCAACATGTTACTCCAATCAAAACCACCTTAGCAACGGCATAGCAACATGTTAAAAACCACCCTGAACACCCAAACAACAGCAAAGAAATGTTACAAACACCTTAGCGACTGCACAGCTACATACCAAACAACACCCAGAACAGCCTAGCAACTGCATAACTACATGCTACAAACTAGGGATGCACAATATTGGATTTTTGCCGAAATCTGATATGCAGATCATTTTCAACTCATTTTGGCCAATGGTCGATGTCGACACCGATATATAATTATTTTAAATTCTGGTTAGTTTTTAACAAGAACTTATTTGTTAGAATTAAATAAACAATAATAAAGTTATTTTATAATGACAGTACATTGAAGATTTGAAAATAACTATAAATAAACTATATATTAATCACTGCTTTTTTTTTCAGAAAGACGCAGTGGTAACCTTAACATTTTATTTTATGATTTAACATTTGTAAATGTTCTAAAGCAAAAGAGTTCTAAAAATTCTGAAAATCTTTTAGAGCTCATCATTTTTTTTTTGTTCATGTAAGCTATAGCTTCTGACCTTTAAATCAAAACATACTCATGATTTTATGGCATCAATTACTGCTTTATTTAATCAGAAACACAGTCTAAATATTATTTGTGTATTTTGCTTATATTTTATTAGAAGTAGGCCAACAGCGCCCCCTACGGAATTAAAACTCCTAACTAAGCGGGTATTAGGACCCGGGGGAGGCTGCCGCTGCACGTGCTATTACTGTTTACTCTATCACACACCGAACGCGTCATTGTGCATTCTCAGGCCCTGTCCACAAGAACGAGGTTATTTTTAAAACCGCAGCTTTTTGTACGCGGTTAGGCCGTTCGTCCACACGCAAACGCAGCACCAGTTCACTGAAACCAAGCACTTTTGAAAACGCCTGCCAGGGTGAAGATTTTCAAAAACTCTGGTTGCAGTGTTATCGTGTAGACAGCTAAACCAGCTAAACCGGAGTTTTTGGCTTTTGTCGTCGGCGCCTGCGCTGTTATCTCCGCCTACTGGAGACTTTTTCAGGCTTCTGATAGGCCAACATGGCTTTACGGTTGAGATTATATCGCCGCCTGTTGGTTTGGCATGCTCTTGGCAGTGCTTCATAGCATGTGTTTGCGTTTTCATGTAGATGGAGATTTTTTTTAAAACGGAAGGAGGAAAAACTGTTTAAATGCAGTGATCCAAAACAGTGAACCCAATCACCATTCAGGCAAAACTTTGCTTCAAGAATGAGCCACAATGCTGATGTGATCGAATCGCTAGCACACCCTGAGCACATGTGAGTTAATGTATTCCTCTTATCGACATAATTTTTCATATCGGGCCGATGCGATATTTACATTTAAAGCCATTATTGGCCGATTCCGATATTGGACCGATAATATCATGCATCCCTACTACAAACAACCCAGAACACTCCAACAAATGCTTAGCAGAGTGTTAAAACCACCCATGTACCCTAGCAACTACATAGCACCCATGACCCCCCCTTGCATGTGCATGGCAACATGCATAAGACCACCCAGAGCGCCATAGCAAGCGGTGCGTCCCTACAGGCATGTGTAGTCATCACACATGATAAACAGCCTAAAGCTTTATGACACGCTGTTGTAAGTGAGTGTACGAATCCCAGCACACTGGCACAGATTGATGGATATAAATAGCTCTCAAGACGGGCATCCCTCAGTTCGGTCATATGATGACGTGTCTTTGTCTTTCTCTAGTGAGCGCACTCGACTGCTGATGACTGCAGCTGCTGGCGGCGTGTCCAGGAAGAAATGGTGATTAATGTATGGTGGTGTTCCCTTGGCTGATTGGCCGTAATTATGGGAAGAGAGGCGGGGTGAGCAGGTGGATGGGTGTCTGTTGACAAGCGCACACATTTGCTCCCGTTATCTTCTGAGATCAGCCGAAAATTAATTCAAACCACACGGGCCAACCTGCTGTCACCTGACCTACACCCTAGCAACTGCATAGCAACATGCTAAAAATCTGCCAGAACGCCCTAGAAATGGGTGGTGAGATGATTGTAACGTCTTAATATTTGACATTAAAAGATACATTTTGGATATTTTGACAACTGCAAGCAACTGCATAGCAACAGGTTAGAAAGCACCCAGAACAACCCTAGCAACTGCATAGCAACGTGCTAAAAATCAACCAGAATGCCTAGAAATGTGAAAACTGCACGTACACGTCTCTTTCAGATGTGAAATCTATGAATCGCAAATGACCTTGAACTTGCACGCAAATTAATGGTTTCAGCTCTCTGCCCTGCAAACGACTCCTCATTAATGTCATTAACATGTAAAAGATCACCATTCATCATCCATATTCTTTAATTCGATCAGAACAGCGAGCTGCAAGAACAGCTTACATTTTCAAAAACCTGCAGTACTCGAACAAGAAAAAGTGCAAACGTCTGCTCAGACCCTGATGTGACGCTAAGCACTTTTCCAAGTCAAAGCCAGTTTTTACAAATATGAGCGTTGGATTGGATTTAAGTGTACACACACCCTAAGATCAAATCTGAGTGTACGCACGCTTTATAAATGAGGCCCCTGAACTGTAAATACAGACATTATGCTAATGTATTTCCAAAGGAACCACACGGGAGCATTTGACTGTTGTCACAATCTCAATGACTATTGATGGGTCAGGAAGAAAAATGTCATTGCATTGATTCAGAACATCCTGTTTTTGACCCAAAACACCAAAAATCATGCCTGTCGTAATCTGGGGAATGTACGTATATGCCTTTCTGTGGTGATACAATTAATTAATGCATAACATGGTAAGAACTGATTTCCGTATTCATATTCCATGATATTCCAAAGTATCGCAAAGAAAATGTCCAAATAGCCTCTCACCCCACTGTAATATATTTCACGTTCACTGAGCAATTTAGCACTGATTTACACACTGACCTCACGAAATGTGATTGACACTGCACTCTCTGTCTTAAATAGGAAAAATCCAATCATCTCAAAGAGCTCAGAAATGATGACATGCTGCTCTATCAGCCTCTGCGGCCGCTGCCTGTAAATACTCACACATGACGATCTGTGTATTGATTGCTGTTGGCTTTTGGAGTGTTGCATGATTTTATTTTGTGACATCATTTAGCTACGGAGCAGCTGATAAATTGTGAGGGTCAAAAGTATCACCAGAATCCGTCAAGCATTTGTACATCTCTTTAAAACGGCAGCAGGAAAGCCATTTTGACACTGTCCACACTCATGCATCAGCAGAATACAGTCATTTGGAGTGATAAATACATGTTCATTGGTGAATCTCACAAAACCTGTCCCAAACATCTCACAAGTCACCACAAAATGAAGAATGATTGAATCATGAATTCAATGATTATTCCTCATATCACATACTGTATGACTACCTGGACACAAACATGTAGGTCTTTTCTTAAACCTGTTGTGGAAGCTGTCCTCAGTAAAATGCGCAGCACACAATAGCAAATTGGGGTTATAATGCTCAGGACAGAGTTAAAAAATAAATTGCAACCACTGTTTCCCTGACATCATCCGCTTTCGGAAGCCCAAACAAAGACGTTTGGGCACGGAGGTGAAAAAAACAGCGTTTCAGGCGTTCGCACACCGGACGAGAAGCGCAGCGTCGCGCCACGTCTTTAAAATTCAAATACATTATTTTCTATGAGTGTAGGCACATGTAGGTACATTGATCAGATAACAGGACGGTATACACGTATTAGAGGTGATGGTAATGTACCATTAAGAAGAACTACCTTTGGTCAATTATCTTTTGCTTTTAGAGGAACACATGAGTGGAATAGACTCCCAGTAGAGCGGAAAGATTTAAAACATTTAACAGGACACTGGTTTCTCGAAAAAGCTGAAAATATGGTTATTGAACCATCAAAATTGTGATCATTTGTAGTGATTTATGGATATGGTATGGTAGTCTGTAATTTTGTGTTTCAATATTCTTAGTTAATTTTTTTTGCTTCTGTTTTCATATTTTCTCCTTGTTCTTAATTTGGTGTATTAATAATCTGTTTACATTCTTTTCCTGTCCTTAACATCAACCTGCCAAAAGAGACTATGGATGAAAATTAGCCAGTGTTGGCTAAATCTGGCACATTTTACATATTGTATGTACTATCAATGTGCATTGTCCCTGATTAAATAAAAAAAAAATGAACAAAAAAAATGAAAAAATGAATGAAGAATAAATATATAAAATCCCATTGAAATTAAGGTTTGTTTGTTTTTTGCATTTAAAATTTATTTTGCAATTTTTTGTAATTTCTATTATTCTCAATAGTAATTTACTGTAATACAGGTATTTTTAAATGGATTGCAGTATTTGTATTTATCAACATAATGGCATTACAATAAATCATAATGTGTAACTGCATGCTTTACAATTTAAATACAATTGTTATGCAATGTTATTTTAGTATTATTTATATACTATTATAATATTTATTACTATTGTCTGTTTTATTTTTCATTTTAGTTTACATTTTAGTAATTTTGTTATGTGCTTTTGTTATTTTTATTCATTTTTGTCTTCAGATATTATTCAAATATTTCAAAGCAAGATTTCTCATTTTCATTTTTTTTTATTTAAGTTTGTCAAGTTTTTCCTCTAATTTTTATATTTTATTTGAGGTTTATTTCAATTAACAACATTTTTTTTTTAAATGTTAAGTACATACAGTATATATATATATATATATATATATATATATATACATACATACATACAAGTAGTAATTCTCATTAGATATACTGTAAAACACCAATTTTATATTTTTTAAGTTTAAGTTTTTAAAGCTTTTTGTGTAACATTTATATTTTATTTTATTTCAAGCTTTATTTCAACTAAACAGGATCTGAATGAAAAATATTTTTAAGTTTAATTTTAGAATAACAACACTGTTTTTGTGGCATTGCAGTAATGGGAATTTGAGAGGAAAACTGTCATGAAAAATGAAATAATGTTACAATGATGCAAAAAATCCAAATGGCCCATAAAATATATTTTTTTCCCTTAGCTTTTGGGGTGAAATTATTACTTGAAACTAGCTGAATTTTTAATAGCCAAACATTTTTAGAAAGATAATTCTAAGGCTACTATGTTTTATGATACCAAGACAAAAGTATATTTAAAACCGAATACCTAATTGCCTTTGCAACAGCTCTATGCAGTTTTCATTCAATCATCCAACAGCTTTTCTGCTGCTGCTGTTCATGCTTGAATGTTTCCGCTGATGAATAATTCTTAATAAACCCTTGAGCTCAGAAGATTAACATGAATCTGTCAGGTGTGTTTCCAGTGCTGCTTTACTCTGGGCTTTGTGTGGCTCTGATAGAATCCAATTAGCCTTTTATTTTTGTTGCCACACCAGCAACTGGTGCAAAATGGTGCCCGAGGACACAGTCTCACCAGAAGCCCAAAATAATCCTCCCCCTGGAAACACTGCCACCGGAGATCTGCGGCCACCCATCAAACCTGTCACAGCCCATCTGGGACCATTTTGAGCTCAGTGGAACGGCTGCGCCACACGCCCTCCATCTCGCCCTGTGTTCAGTGGATTCCTGCCAGAGTCGCTCCCATGTTGAGCTTCAACACACTCATGTCATCTGAGGTATAAGAGAGAGAAATGAGAGTTAACAAAACCAAATGATACAAACTTTAGAGTAAACATCAAATCAAAATTGACTATTATATATGCTTCTGCTTTTATTGTTCATGATTTATCCAAACACTGCAAAAACAAGCACAAAGCACTAAATTTGGTTAGATTTGTGCTTAAAACAAAACAAAACTATTTGTGAGGTACTAAAAATAAATTTGATTTAAGATATATTGAAAAATCATATATATATATATATATATATATATATATATATATATATATAGCAATTTTGCTTTTTTTTTAATCTTTTTTTCTTTATGTAAGCCTATTTTTTTATTTTTTTTACTGGAAAACAAGACAAATATACTGACTAAAAATGCACTACAACAAATAGTACTTTTGAAGTAATAGTCATAGTACTTATATAGTAATATAATTTAGTCTAATATAAGTTATAATAGTAATAGTACAAAAGTAATAGTACTTTTGAATTAGTTTTTATTTTTATATTTTACATTTTCTTTTTCATTTTCATTTTCGTTAAAATTTTAGTAAGTTTGTTGTGTGTTTGTCATTTTTATTCGTTTTTTTTTAAAGTGTCTATATATCTTGTTTTACGTATTTTAAATTTTTTTTACTGGAAAACAAGCCAAAAATATTACCTAAAAATGAAGTGCAACAAAACACTATTTAAATACTATATAAACAAATAATATGGATATTTGACATTTTAAAAATACTGTATAGATTTTATTAATGGTGAATTTGTTTTTATTTTAAGATTTTCCATTTTCTTTTTAATTTTTGTAAAATGTTTCAGTAATTTTGTTTTTAATCAATTTTATTAGTTATTAGTATATATATTTTTTTTAAGTTTAAATATAGAATATAGTTTATATTCATTTTAATTTCAGTTTTAGTACACAAAGTTAAACCAAATGAAAATGAGAAATTTGCCTTGGCAACTACCTGAGATAAAATAAGTTTTTTATGTTATTTCAGTTAACATTAATTTTTATTATTTTATTTTATTAACAAAAATGTTTATGGTTTAACTTAGTTAACTATAATAATCTTGATACACACACATACTTCGATTCAACATTCAATATGTTTCACTCTGAAAAACTTCACATTACAGAAATACAATGGGTTGCAAACACAAAACTCATTAGCTCTGATGTGCTTGTGTGTTCAGTGATGGTCAAACCGCATGGCACACGCTCCGTCCTCTCACAGTTTACATAATCCTCAGCCTGCCACTATCAGGAACACGCCTGGAAACAACACGCTCCAAAAACCATCCGATGCATTCACACAGAACACATGTAGTGATGGGACTCACTCGACTCAAGGTACGTCACTGTCATCTCAGCTACAGTCAAAGAAAGATCACTCTAAAAAAACTCAACTCAACTTTGGGTCAAATATGGACTAACCCAAATTTTGGGTTAGATTTTGTAATTTTCTGAATTTTAACCCAAAATGAGCGATATATACCCAATATATAAATATATATATATATTTATA